ATGCGTAACAGCAACTTTAGACATTGTGACTATTAAAAAGAACTTTCCGTAGCAAAAGAACTATTTGGATAAGTATAGAAAGAGAGAGAGAGAGAGGGAGAGAAAAAAGAGGAGGATATATAAGGCAAACATTCGATGGTATTTTAAACAAGAGAACACAAATTTGATCATGATAACGCTCAAGGAGAAATGGTTGATTTATAGACGTTGATTAGATTTTTGTTGATCGACATTTACAGACGTCGAATCGACATCGAATTGACTTTATGTTCGTTTCTGATCTCTTATCGGGCATGTTACACGTGCGTGCAATAATATTAAGAACATTATCTATAAAAGTGACAATTGATAAAAAATTTTTTCCAGTAATTGCTCGAGAGCGCAAGGAACATAAAAAAGAGAGTAGACAAACGGAGAGGTAGGGAGGAGAGGGACGAAAGAATCTCTCGACAGATACTCGATGATGACCTGACGGAGATCGCGACATACAATATTCGCGACGTAACATGCGCGGGTGACCATTGACAAGAATGATTCTCCATCGAAAGCCGCGCGGGTGGCGAGAATAAGGAGGGCCGGGGGGAAGAAGGGGGGAAGCGGAAGGAAGAGGGAAGGGGAGGAAGGAGAGAAAAAAAAGATTCGCGCGCGCCCACCGCGGAGGGAAAGAGCCGGCGAGCGTGAACGGTGGTGTTCCTCAGACAGAGACACATAGCCCCGAGCTATGTAATTCATTACTAAAGCAATCTCACCCTGGCACCCTCTCTAGCCTGCACCCTGCCGGCAGCCCTGCCTCCGCCCCTGACCCATCAGAGCCGCCCGAGAGAGCCCGCACGTTATAATATAAAAAAAGAAGATGGGCGGCGGCGGCGGCGGCGGTGGTGGTAGCGAGAGGATGGGTGCACCAGGAGGTGGCGAGGGGGCGACGAGAAGGTGGCGCGAGGGGACCGACAGCGGACGAGGGGGTGGAGGAGGGTAGGAGCGCCCGATTAGAATAGCGCCCCCTGACAACAAAACAAAATGAAACACAAAGCAGTGTTTTCATAATTAAAAAGATTGCGCGCGCTTCTTTCTTCCTACCATTTCTATTCATGCCTCTTTTCATTTTTTCTTTCTCTCTCTCTCTCTCTCTCTCTCTCTCTCTCTTTCTCTTTTTTTCTTTCTTTTCTCTTCTCTGTCTCCCCGCCCCTCCCGCGCCTTCTCTCGCTCCTTCTCATTCTTTTTCTCTCGGAGACGGTGTACGCCGAGACAGAGAGGCGGAATTCAATAACCGTATTAATACGCGTCGTCTTTAGAAACGGGCAGACGTATATATAGGTATATATATATGTATTAAAACGATTTAATCTACTCTCGCGTGAGCGCGAGAGGTGGGATCTGAGATCCCAATGACTTTCTGGATCTATTGTCTAGTTAAAGTCAAAATGCAAATGTATTTTTTTTTATCGAGAATGATCTTTATTTCGATCATAGGTCCACGACGACGTTCACCG